ACCGGTCCCCGACCCACTCCTGCAACGCCGCCTGACACCTCAGGCCCACATGAACACCCGCAAGGTATTCTTCGACAGGATCCATCTGAAAAAGAAACCTACCCAAACCTGAGAGACAACTGACAGGTAAGTTTAGGTTTAGTTAGGATGGTCACTTCACAAAATGGACGGTATAAATACTCCCATCGTAGCTCCCCCCCACCCAGCTTGCTAGCTGTCACTCAACTTCCCTTGGCTTTTATGCCTACCTCCTGGCTCTGTCAAGGCCCACTCCCCTAGTTGCGCTGATCCATGGACAACACTCAGCCTGATGGCACAGGGCTAGTTAATGGAAATAGGAAAACATTATTTCTGATATTTTGCAAAGGCAGAGAAAGTACAGCTTTTAAAAGGTCGCTCTAAACACCATCGCAGTTTTGCCAAACTGCAAATTTGATGGTGCAGAGTGTCTTAGAACTGTAGTGAATTGTAAAAATTGCTGCAGCTCTGATATAGCCCCTCAAAGGTGTACAATTAAGCCACCAGATTTGTCATGTTACAGGAGAGCCTAGCCACAAACTACAGCCAAGGACCACAGCTTTGCCAATCAACGCACACAGCCTGGTTCGGACTATATGTAAACAGAGGCTCTTATCCCCTAATCTGCTCGGTAGAGGTTTGTGGGATATTAATAGACCCCCATAGGCCAGATTGAGACAGTCTTGACAGGAGGCCTGAACGGAAGCCTATTATAAAGTGGTCTGCTTGTAGCTGTCAGCAGACAAATTAACCCCTTAAGGACATAGAGCAATCTGTATGCACAGTAGTTTTGCTTGAGACATTGCACATATAGAGATATCTACATTTGCGTGCTGGGGGCTGGTTGCACCTCCAACACTTAAGCTGTGCGTGCTGGTGACAGATGTAATCAGCTTCTACACATGCAGAGAGCACTGTGAGCGTGCCTGCAAGGAGAGAATTGTAAGTTCTCTCCCTCCTTCCTGCGTTATCTCCGAGCCCCTCCTGCCTTCCACACATTATACGTGTTTTTTTTTTTTTAAAGGACAAAAGTTGCTTTCATTTAATGTGACATGCATCTAAAACTATTTGCAATCACAATATGTACATAATTAGTGCAGTTTAAGAATGTAATTCATTACCGAATGCGTTATAGGTCTAGGATTTCAGCTTATTTTTGGCAATTAAAGGTCACAAAATACAAGGAATAAAATACAATATCAACATGGAATAATTTTAGAATTTGGTATGTTTGTATGCTAAGTTTAAAAGCCATCACAGAACTGTGTCTTCTTTTCCTGGCGGTCAAATGAGTCATTGTCTTCTAATGGAATTCGCCAGATACATCATTTCTGAACCAAGCAGTGGTCTTTTTGGATTAAACTAAAGGATGGGAACGAGTGTTTCACAGGCAGAACAACTCAATGACAGCATTCACCAAAATCTGAGCACTCTAGAAGGTCCTTCGGGCACAGGGAACACTGACAGGATAACATATTCTGCACTATCTCAACATGCAGGTTGTAGCACTCAAACTGACACACCATCTAGCTATTTTGTTTGCTGTTTTATTTTTATTTTTAAATTCTGTTGTAAATAATATAATTACAAATAATAATTTTTATTGCATATTTACACATTTCTTTATGTAACCCTATGCAAATGTGTATGTGCACTCACAACCCAGCTCAATGTATGATTTTATGTTGTACTTTTCTATTTCTACTATGAAAAATCTTAATAAAAATTTCAAATGGGGATCAAAAACATTACAGAAAAAAAAAGGTATAATCCGTCCGTATGGCGTCATGGACAAAATGTTACTTCCGGTCTGCATCACTTCTGGATCACAGCATACTGTGAGTCCTCCCCCCGGTGTTTTCCCATGGCATCAGGGTGACTCTACCATTAGTATCCTGGCAATCTATGGCTGGTTATCAGGGCTTGCCGTTCTAATGGAGGGCGGCACAGTGTACTGCAGGCATCCTATCCAAACCCCACCCTCCTCACCCTTTAACTCTATTTTCTTACTCTCCTGGTAGGTCCTCTTTATTTACAGGCTAACCTGGCCATCACACTTCCCGCACACTTCAACTCACTTTGCCTTAGGTCAGGGATGGGGAACCTTTGGCCCTCCAGATGTTGTGGACTACATTTCCCTTGATGCTTTGCTAGCATTATGGCTGTAAGAGCATTATGGGAGATGTAGTCCAAAACATCTGGAGGGCCGAAGGTTGCCCATCCCTGCCTTAGGTAGTTATTGCAAACACGGTCTTGGTTCCTGACCATAAAAAGTATCAAGATATTTACCTAAGGGTTTTACAGACACTTTACTTAGCCTTTTAACTGCCAGTCTCTGTTGAAAATTGTAGAATAATCAAAGCTGATGTATGCTAACTGGGTTTGTTATTACCAGTGTTGCATCTAGTATGACCACACCAGGGCCTTAGCCAGTCAGACCCCCATTACCCTTGCAGTCCCCATGGGGCCCTTCCTCGCCACACTGGTACTGCAGGTAGTTTCCATAAAACAGAAGGAGGCAGGGCTGCAGGGAGGCTCACCAGTGCAAGGTGGAGACATTTAAAGTATACACCACAGGAGGTAGAGCTTTAATCAGAGAGAGGGTGAGTGTGTCTATGTGTGAGCATCAGTGTATGCATCTGTGAATGTGTGTCAGTCTATGTACATATGTGCATGTGTGTTTGTGGATTTGTGTGTGGATTTTTGCAATATATCTGTGTATGTGCCAGCCTAGGTATATGTATCTCTTGGAGTGTTTCTGTGTGTATGTGCTGTGTTCATATCTGTGTATGGCAGTGTGCATCTTTGTGTGGCAATGTTTATGTGTGGTAATGTGCTTCTATATGTGTGTGTGGCATAATATGTGGAAATGGGAGTACACACCTGCATACAAAACACAAACATTACTCACAAACACCTCTGAATTCAAACACCAACACTATACACAAACACACCTCCACATGCAAACACTAACACTACCCACAAAATCAACACTGCATTCAAACTCCAGCCTGGTACACAAAAAAGCCCCACTTGCAAACACAAATACTACACACAAATATACCCCTGCAATCAAACACTAACACTACAAAAAAATTATATACCCCTGCATTGAGATGCCAACACTACACACACTCCTTCATGCATACAGTAAGACTACAAACGCATCCATGCATTCAAATACCAATACTGCACACAATACACCCCTGCATTAAAGGACCACTATAGTGCCAGGAAAACATACTCGTTTTCCTGGCACTATAGTGCCCTGAGGGTGCCCCCACCCTCAGGGTCCCACTCCCGTGGCGCTGAAGAGGGAAGAAGGGGTTAATCCCTTACCTTTTTTCCAGCGCCGGGCTCCCTCGGCGCTGGGGCTCTCCTCCCGCTTTTTCCGTCATCGGCTGAATGCGCATGTGTGGATTGAGCCGCGCACGCATTTTTCAGTCTCATAGGAAAGCATTATTAATGCTTTCCTATGGACGCTGGTGTCTTCTCACTGTGAAAATCACAGTGAGAAGCGCGGAAGCTTCTCACTAGAGGCTGGATTGACCCATAGGTAAACATAGCAGTTTCTCTGAAACTGCTATGTTTACTGCAAAAAGGGTTAAACTTAGCTGGAGCTGGCACCCAGACCACTTCATTAAGCTGAAGTGGTCTGGGTGCCTATAGTGGTCCTTTAAAATATCAGCATTAGACACAAACAGGCAAATATGCATACACACATACTCAATACAAAAAGATGCTTACATGCACACACCAGCAGTCAGGCACTGCAAATAAATACAACTCTGCATGGTTGGGCAAAGGGAAGATCCAAAGCTGGTGAAGCCTTTTGGCCAACCCTGCTTTATACTGGGCCCTACCACTAAATGTATTTATTTGTTTGCACCAGAGCCCTCTCTTCATTAGTTTCAGTACTGGTGTTGATCCTATACAAAACCCCAAATTATGTTTCGCTACATCTTTTGAGTACAACATGCATAGTCGCCTTTCCGGAATATGCGTGATAACCCCAAACCCCCCACAAATACTCAGACACTTTTATTTGGGGAAATCTTTCACAGCTTTATTAATATATAAATAAAGTTAAAATATTTTAGGGTCATTGTCACATAACATAAACATATAACATATTAACATAACATATCCCCCCCATATCCTTTAACAATACTACGCCTGACAATGACCCACAACACAATAAGTAAAACCACATTATAACATATAATTAACAAATATCGTTGTGAACCTTCCTGAAACCCTAACAACAAGAAGTCCATACCCACCTCTGACAGATGTACCCCATCTTGCCTGTAATAATCCGCCAACTTGGCTTCCAACTCCCCATGCCTTCCAACTCCTCCACTCAAGTGCCTCACATAAGTTGCCATAGTTGTATTTACCATCCGCCTATTTTTTGCCACTGCCTGACGGTCCCTAGCGGGTTGCTATTGCGATCATAGTACCATCTCTGACCATATGACAACCATGTCAGGGACCATCTGCCTCAACCCATCCAAATCTTTCTTCAGCACCGTGAGCAAAGCCATCTGCGAAAATAAGCCTCATTCATTCCCCCCCGGCATGAAATAAAACAATGTTAGGTACTTGACCCACTCTAATGCTTTGGAATAGCTTTAAGCATACACCTAGCCAACTGCAACCCCTAAAACCAAATCACTCCATTTGCACCATCGAGCGCGGGAAGCACAGCTGTATGCCTTGACGACGAACTGCATCTCTCCTTTGTGCCCAGTACACATATGAGTGTCCCATCACCATTCGAAAAAACCCTAAGGAACTGAACTGTGGACACCGAAGAACCATCGTCTTGCAATAAAAATAAACATCCTCTCCCAGCACGAACCGCCCGAAATGCCACAGCACATGCCACTGGACATGCCACAGTTCCACGTCCGGACACTGTAACCCACCTCACTTATGCTGCTCACCAACTCACTTATGCTCAATGCCCCAAAAAAGTGCCCAGCTAAACACCACGGAAAACAGCACAACCTCATATTCCGAAAAACAAACCTCTGGCAGCACGCCAAGTAATCCTCGTAGAATTTCAAAGGATACCGGTCTGCGCGAATCCCGCGATGACCTGCCTGTCCGAAACCCTTTAATAGCCAGATGCACTAGGAAATGCTTGGTTAAGTCTTCCCACCCATTAAGCATAAATAAAAAGCCAACACTGTCCTGTCGCACCCTACCGCTGATGGAGACGCCCTGCTACCAATAGCCTAGAAAGAAACCATAACAAAGTGTTGAACCAAGCCGCGGCAGAGTCTTCACTCGCACACACCATTGTGGCATCCCATTTTGGCCAACCTTGACGTAGGCCGCCCATGTGGACGGCGCCAACGACCCCTTTTATGAGTCCGCCAAGCAAGAGGTGCCGAGCTGCCACTTTCTGTTGGGCAATGCACTCCTTCATCCTGTGCGCCCGGGGCCACTGCCCGAACCGTTCCCACTGAAAACGAGGAAGCGAGCCCGCTACCACATTCACCTCCCAGGCATGTGATGTGTCCTGCACACAACATTAAATTGCATGCGAGAGAGAACAAGGTGGCGAAGGAGCCGAACAACAGGGATAGAGGGAGCAGAGAAACTATTAACAGCCTCAACCACCGCCTGTTGTCGGTACAAAGATAACCTTCCTGTCCCTCATTTGTTGTCCCCTCAATGCCAGCGCCACCACTAAAGGAAAGAGTTCCAGAAACGCCAGTTTGACAATGAGCGAGCTGGCCTTCCACTCATTCGGCCAGGGCTTGGCCTACCAGTGCCCCGCGAAATAAAACCCAAACCCAATGCTGCCGGATCCACCCGTAAGCAATTCCAGATCGGGCGAGGAAGCCCGGCAAAGGACATGCCCATACATGCAAAGGACATGCCCATACATGCCCATAAAATCCCTTAGGAAGACCTGCCAAACATCCTGATCCCTGCTGGTCGCCCTGGAGAGGGATCTGTTGAACACCCTCCCCACTGGGCTCCCCCGGCATGTGAAATTGAGCCGGCCCACCAATGACTGACACGCCCGCAAAGTAACCTTCTAGCTTCCCTCACCTCCGCCACCGCGTGCCACAGTGCCCGTAAATTGTTCTCCGGCAACCGACAGTCCCACGGCCCGAATCTATCTCCAAGCCCAGGAAGGACAAGCAATTTGTCAGCCCCACTGTCCTGTCGTATTCAGAATGTATTCTGAATACATTCGCGACCCAGTCCAACGTTCTCAACCCTATCCGGCACACCCCAAGCCCGCCAGCCCGACACAGAGGAATCATGTAGGTATTGGACCACTAATCTAGTGCCTGCCCCATATGTGACGCCCACTCCAGAAAAGTATAGAACTTTTCGAAGTACGCACACGATATGAAACCACCCCTCAGCAACACCGATCGACGAAAGACTGCCCCTTGAAAGAACAGCCCAGTAAATGATGACAGTCGGGGTGAATGGGCAGTAATCAAAATGCCGTTTCCACGTTCGCCGTAGACATCAACACCCCCTTGCCTGCACGTCAAACCAACTTAACCATTTTGACGAATGATGCATAAGACGTCGAGCCTAGAGCCCTGTCATTATAATCATTCCCGAAGATCCATATGGATATGAAAAATGAGGAATAAACCCTTACTCACAGGGCTCGCGCTAGGCACGATCCCCCACTGGTGACACCTGCATTACACTCATCGGGGGCTCCTTCAACTGCCTCACCCTCCTCCCTATCTGTACCTCTTTGAACCATTTCTCCTGCACCACCTCCCCGTCATCAGATTCTGTAGATTGCAAACTCCTTCCTATTGCCGAAACGGAATCACAACCCTGTCGTTAACCCGTCCTGCAACAGCAAGGCGTCCTTATGGTTATCATAACTGCTGAGCCACATCAGCATTGCGTCGACCTTCACCGGTGATCGCAAGGGCACCCCCAGAGCACCTGGAATCCCTCCCGTGGAGGATGTGGACTTACCGGTCTTGGAGCAGAGGTTGTACCCATGCATGCCAAAAGCCTGTGCCGAACCTTTTCATTGTACCGCCACCACGCTACGTGCGGTACGCCTCCCAGATCCCCATCCAAGTAACAGGACAACTGCGAGCACCGTTCAGGTGATTACTCCCCCACAATGCTCCCCAGAGTACCACAAGCCCTCAACCAATTCCCAAAAGATTTGGGCATTTGCCGATAGCGGCGCCTTTTCCCTTCCTCCTCCGTCAATTTTAAGTATTCATCCAGAAGAGGAAGCGAAAAGATCTCCAGAAATTCCCTTCTCCATATCCTCGCCCTCACCTCCAGTTTCCGGTGACCCCCCAATGGCCCAGCGAACAGGGGTGGGCTGGGCCGGGGGCGGGGAGGCAATTGCCCCCCAGGCCGCCCTAAATCATTTTGAAACTGGCCGCTGCAGGGCCGGTCCTAATGCTGCAGCCATCTGAGCACTCTGTAATAGCGCTGCTTCTCTCCTCACCTCCCCTTCCCTTCCCTGTAGCGTGGCCGATCTCCTCTCCGGTCCGTGGTGCCCGGCCGGAGTGATAGGAAGGTGCACACTCAGTGTGCACTTCCTATCAGTCCGGTCGGGTACAGGAATCAGAAACTCCTGTACCGCGTGGAGTTTCTGTTTCATGTACCCGGCCGGACTGACAGGAAGTGCACACTGAGTCTTTACCGCAGTGCCCCTAATTTATAGTGGCTCACACTCACAGCAAGCAGTGCATGGAGCCCTTTGCATAGACGGGAACAAAGAGGTTCTGCGGCAGCTGGCCGTCCTGCAAGCATTACATTAACCAACTGTTCCCCATGCAGCCACAGGTGGCGCTGTGCTGGGAGAATGTGATTACTCTTCACTTCCTCCCAGCCTACAGAGCAGCGCATGGGAGAGAGAGAGGAGGAGGCATGATTTAATCTTACAACAAATCCACTAAGCAAATCTTTATAAATTTGGGGGGATCAGCTCTGTTTCCACAGTTTATTGGTGTTTACTATGATGTCTGTATTAATATTGAGGGACTTCTAAGTAGTAACATCAGTGTGTGTCAGCAGGGCCAGCCATTGGGGTGTGCACGCTGTGCGGTCACGCAGGGTGCCATGACAACAGAGGCGCCCGGCGGCCAACACAGCTCACAAGTTGGGGACACCAGCATATTCAATTTAAACGATTCGCTGGTGGTCCACTGGTGCGCACCAGCAGTAGGTGCAGTCAGATTATATCCTCGCCCTCGTGGTTCCAGCGCTCAGTTAGTGAGTCAGAGCACAGGCTCAGAGATTCTCAGCCTGCGCTCTGACAACATTGAAAGTCAGAGCCATGAAGGAGCAGGTATGGCAAAGAGCAACTGATTAGCATAACATCAATATCCGTTATAAAACCAGGAAAAGGTGGGCATGGATGGTGAACTGATTTGGTGGTGCAATGGGCCACTTGACTGGTTTTGCCCCCCAGGTCTAAGGCTGCCAGCCCTCCCCTGCCCGTGAAATATATGTGGACATTCCGCCCAGCTGTGTCCCGGATGTCCCCAACTAGTTCTGCCCTCTCTCCTGCCTAGTAGCCCAAACCTGCCCAAAGGTAACACTTCCCCCTGAAACCCCGCTCCATGAGTCCAGAAAAGACTGTAGAACCTCTAAAAGGTCCCTGGAAGGTTTAGCAGAAGACAACTCACCATCCGAACCTCTTGCCGCCAAAGGCTGCAAGGCCGTGTCCCTCCTGACATTGTCCAAGCCTGAGCGCGAAGGCGCCTCCAGCCGTAGGTCTGCATCCCGAGGTCTCATCTGGACCGTGGGTGACCTAGAATGAGAAAAAACTCTGGGTAGGCTGTCAGATGGAGTAATTGCCGCCCAACACTCCTGCTGGGACCCGGGAAGTAAATTATCCCCTCTGCGTCTGGCCTCCTGCGGTCATGCCAGCTTCCCTCCATCTGTTCCTCATAGTCCCCCAAGAGCACCCACTAGAGCCCAATCTGCTGCGCCTGCGTTCCGTCGGGGGATCCCACAGTAAGCTCCAGAGCAGCACCCCCTGGCTCGATCTCCCGCTGTGTTGGCCTGCATGCCCGCTATGGCCACTCCTGTCGACCCAGGGAGTCTGGCATGAAAGTACTGAATGCGGCGCTCTGTGTGCACCCGTGATTCGGATCTAATGGGTGTGGAAGCCCGCGTGCCCGCTTCCGAACTCAGGTTCCTGGGCTCTCTCCCTGGGCCGCCTCTACCCACGCTAGGCAATCTGGACGCCGACCTGTTAGGTGACCCCTTGAACACACGCCACTCCCGCGACCGGCTAGGAGAAGCCCATCGATGCTCACTGGCCTGTGACTTCACTGTCATCCCCCGATCTGGTCCAGGCAGCACTCCTAGCGTAGTCCCGGCCAGCCGCAGATTCCACCATCAAAGAAACCACCTTCTGTCTGATAACAGACTTGCTCACCATTTTATCTGAACCAGAGGCATCTTTGGCTGTCCTGAGTGAGCGGGCCAATTAGGAGATAACATGCATACCTGTAAGCGGCCCGAACATTCGGCAGTGTCCCGTTTGCGGCCCGAACGTTCGGCAATTTCCACCCGTTCGGTAGATTCTCTGGTTACCCGTTCGCGGCCAAACAACCAGCCATGACTGACTGCACCAATTTGCAGCTTGAATGTCCTCGCACAGCCGTGTTCGCAGGAACCCATCCTGGTCGTGAGGCTGCACTCTGACTCTGTCCTCTTGGTGCGGCCGTCGTCCAGCCACCACTTCAGCCCTACCAGGCTCCACAGTCGAGCTCCTGCACCTCTGATCACCAGGCTGCTCGCTGGGCTCGATGGTGAGGCGGCCTGGCGGCCTCGTCCACCTAGCGTGCCAACGTCCCTGGTACGTAGTCTAAGGCCTGGCAGGGCGCACAGCATCCCTGGCCGCAGGGGTCCACAGGGCGGCTGGGCACCCTGGAGTGAAGGGCCCGGTCACAGCTGCGACCCCTATATGTACGCCACTGTACACACACACACACACATACAAACACACATACATACAAACACACACAGAGACACATATATACAGACACACACATACATACAAACACACATACCTACAAGCACACATACATACAGACACACACACACACATACAAACACACACATGCACAGACTTACACACACAGACAGACACACACACATACACACAGACAGAGAAACATTCATACAGACACACAAACATACATACGAACAAACACACACACATATACAAAATATTTTAGTCACCCTTCTGTTTCCTATCTTTTAGATGCAGGAAGGTGACTTCCCTGGGTCCAGTAGTGGCTCAGCCTGTTGGGAGTCAGAGTTTCCACTCTAACTCCCTCCTCTCTTCCTCCCTCGCAGCTCTGTCTGATAGCTGGGAGGAGTGACCGAGGCAGTCACTTCATCCCAGCGTCTGATGTCATCTCAGGGGCCCCGCTCACGCTGTTAAAGCACCGCAGCGCTGACCGGGCCAACCGGAAATCGATAGCTATCGGGTGGCCCTAACAGCATGGGCCACCCGATGGACCCCTTCAATGTGGCCCTGACGGTTTTTACTGTGCGGGCCAGGGCTGCAACACATGGCAACGGGAACCCGGTCGCAGGGGTCTGCAGAGCGGCCGGGTCCCCTGGAGTGACTGGATATACCCCACTGAAAGCATACCATTTGCGAAAGTAGACACCAAGGGGTATACCTTATGGTATATTTTAAAACTTATTGTACTTGTTTATGGTATTTAACTTTTACATGTGCATTGCAATTTAGCACTTGAGGATCTTCTGGTGCTCCTGCCTGTCTGTGGCAGAGCTGCAGGGCTCCTGGTACTCCTGCCTGTCTGTGGCAGAGTTGCAGGGCTTCTGGCAGGGCTTCTGGCTTCTCCTCTGTGTATTCTGCCACTCCTGCCGGCTTCCGGCAGAGTTGCTGGTCTATTCCGAACTAAACTAGGAAGTGGAGCGGGGCCTGTGACGTGGCAGCTTCCGGCTGTGCCCGCGTCACGTACACGCCCTCCGGCGGTGCGTCCACGTCACTCTTCTGCGCCCATGCGTCGGACGCGATGATGACATTTCCGGTCTTGCCGGAAGAGAAGGTGGACTCTGTGACCGCACCTCCCTGCTGGCGCCATCTTGGGCCCTTGCCCCCGACACAATGACGGAGCGCCCACGCCTAGCATTCACCTGGGGGGCCTCCTTTGCACGATCCGCACCGGAACTCTGCTCACCAACCCTCCGGTCTCCGCGCCTGGTACTGGTTCTTCTCACAGGACTGGGGGATAACCGCGCCGGAGGCCTTGTCCTCCGGGCCCTCCGACCGTCTGCAGGGGGGTCTTCAGCCGTCCTCTCCAACATCAAAGTACCCGAACTTCCAGCGACGCCGGCCATCACTGCATCCAGGGCGCCTGAGCCATGAGACTCCATGTAAGCCTGTAGCATTGCAACCAGCGCCTGGGACACCGTTGTTGAAGTAGATGCCATAGTGAAATAAGAACTACTGCAAACCTAACAAAAACTGCTGCAAACCTAACTAAAACTGCTCCAAACCTAACTATAGGTAAATCACTAGGCCCTATACTATGGAAGTAAAATTACCAGATTTTACTAATTACATGACGTAAAGTCATGATTTTATAAAGGACACGGAGGCGAATATTATACTTATCTCTTTCTTTATTATACCTCAGCAGCAAAGAGAAGGTATAAACATTCATAGAAAAAAAGTTTTAACAGGTTCTCCAAGGGTTAACCCAACATCATACCCTTGACCAATAGGAACAGTCCCTCTATCTATAACTACTCATGTGACCTTTCCTCTCCCTCTTTCTTTGGTCATGCCGAAGCTGTATCTTTATGACTTGAGAAGACACTGGAACACTTTATCCGTTGTGTCGAACTTTCCCATATCCCGAACTTGTAAGAACTTGTCTGCGTGAACTGCGGTGACAACTGGTCATCCAGGGTGTCGCGTATTGCGAATTAAACTGTAATGGGATAGAGAAAAAAGTGGTAAAATGTGGTCTGAGGAACTGTTTGTCACAACGTGACTAAATCTTAGCATATGCCTGAGGTACTACAGACTCACTAGTATATAAAAAGAAAACAGTTGTCCTAAATAAACGAATTAAATCGAGACGAAAGAAGACACCACAATGACCCTTATTTTATTGTTTATTGGGTGGGAATTTCACTCTACTTTCGCCGATATAGGCCTGATATACTTACCGGGTGGGCCAATATTCGCCTCCGTGTCCTTTATAAAATCATGACTTTACGTCATGTAATTAGTAAAATCTGGTAATTTTATTAAAGGACACGGAGGCTCATATTATGCTAGTTCAAAGCTGTGCAATGACTGTTGATGCTACGTGGTCTGTAGGGTAAAAATAATATTCCTTAAAGGTGGATTCATGAGACCAATCTGCCGTCCGTAACAAATCTTCCAGCCTGCATCCCAAGTTGAATACTTTAGATGCCATAGCTCCTCTAGTGGAGTGCGCCCCATATACTGAGGTATCTATGTTTGCAGGGGTCATTATCCACTTCACCCATCGGGCTAGCGTTATTGAAGATACTGGCTGGTGTGGTGAATTGACGGCTAGAAATAGTTCATGCTGTCCAGAGTTTCGAAATGCCTGTGTCCGTGTTTCATATTCCTTGAGGCAAGCTATTGGGCACAGGTTTTTGTAGTGCGGGAATGCTGGATATGATACTGATGATGTTGCTGATTTAGTACGTCTGGAAATGTTGAAAGTTACTCCCGTTGGAGTGAACGTGCGTGCGTCGACGTCCAATGCCCGGACATCCGAGACTCTTTTGCAGGATATTAGGCATTAGAGCATGGCCAGTTTCGCTGAAAGTTGTTTCAATGTGAGGTCAGAGTTCTGTGGCCATTGTTCCAAAAGATTTAAGACCACATTCACGTCCCATACTGTACTATATCGGGGTCGTGGTGGTCTTGCCAATCGAATTCCGCGTAAGAGCCTGCATACCAACAGATGTTTGCCTGCTGGGAGTCCTTCTATACCCTTGTGTCCAGCCGAGATAGCTGACCTGTATACATTGATGGTCCGGTACGCAAGTCCCTGGTCGTATAGATGTGTAATAAAACACAACAGGTGGTTTACAGGGGCACATACGGGATCCACGTGTTGTTCCATGCACCAACCCCTCCAGATGTTCCAGGCTTTAGAGTAGGATCGTCGTGTTCCCGGAGCCCAGGCTCCCGCCAGAAGTTCGAGAGTTGTTTGCGGAACATTTGGCACGACCCAGGGTCCCCGGAAAGGAGCCACGCTAACAACCTGAGTTGTCCCTGTGCCATCAGAGGGTGTGGGTTCCCATCTGGGTCTGAAAGGAGACGTGGGTTCTCGGGCAGCATTCTGGGGAGATCTACGGACATCTCCATGAGTAAAGGGAACCAAGGCTGTGCAGTCCAGAATGGGGTTATGAGGACTAGGGATGTCCGTGCGCGGTCGAGGTGCACTAGTGTTCGTGCTAGCAGGGCGAACGGAGGGAACGCGTATAGTCGTTTGTTCGGCCATGGTTGTAGGAATGCGTCCGTAGCTAACGCGTCTGGGTCCGGTCTCCAGCTGAAGAATTCCGGGAGTTGTGTATTCAACCGTGACGCAAACAGGTCTATATACATCGGACCCCATAGTGTGTGCAATCGTAGGAACGTCTCTCGGTTCAGGCGCCAATCGCTGGTATCCCGCAGATGTCTGGAGTTCCAATCTGCTATGGTATTCGAAAGTCCCGGGATGTATTCGGCTCGCACTGTTATGCTGCGTTCTAAGCAAAACTGCCAAAATTCTGTGGCTAAGTCTGCTAAAATTTTGGACTTGGTGCCGCCGAGGCGGTTGATGTACTGTACGGCTGATACGTTGTCCATTCTCAGGATGATGGAGCAATGCGTCGCGGGGCCCAGGAGGCTCTTCAGCGCGAATGATCCTGCCATTAATTCCAGGCAGTTGATATGTAGTGTCCTCTCTGATTGGGACCATTTTCCGCCTGTGGAGGTATGTCCACAGCGCGCTCCCCAGCCCCGTGTGCTGGCATCTGATTCTATTACGCAATCTGGGTTGTTGCCGAAGATTGCTCTGCCGTTCCACGCTTCCATGTGCTGCAGCCACCACCGGAGCTCCTCCTTGGCTGTGTAATCGAGTGGCACAGAGTCTGAGTAGGAGTGTCCTGAGCGTAGTTGTGCGGCTTTTAGTCGCTGCAGGGCCCTGTAGTGCAAGGGTCCCGGGAAGATCGCTTGTATGGAAGCGGAAAGGAGTCCAATTATCCTGGCTAGTTGTCTGACCGTGAGTGTTGGACGAGCCAATGTTCTGCGGATCTCCTTCTTGATGATTTTCAGCTTTGTGGGTGGTAAGCTTAGGGTCCCTAAGACCGCCCCTATCTCGAATCCTAGGAATTCTAAGGACTGGGAGGGGATTAGTACCGACTTCTCCCAATTGATTAGAAATCCCAGGTTTCGTAGTAGTGTTATTGCCCAATCTAAGTGTTGTTGTAGTAGTAGGGTGTCTTGGGCCATGATCAGCATATCGTCCAGATATATGATCATGCGAACCCCTCTGCTGCGCAGCAGCGCAACCACTGGCTTCAGCAGTTTTGTAAAGCACCATGGTGCTGACGATAGGCAAAACGGTAGGCACTGGAACCTCCATGTCTGAGAGTCCCAACTGAATTGTAGGAGATGCTGACACTCCTTTGCAATGGGGATGGTGAGATATGCATCTTGGAGGTCTAGTTTGACCATCCAATCCCCCAGCCTGAGAAGATCTCGTAGGCAATGAATCCCTTCCATTTTGAAGTGATGATATCTTACAAACGCATTGAGTGGGCGTAGGTTGATCACTGGTCTTACCCCACCGCCTTTCTTGGGGACCAGGAAGAGATTGCTC